AATATTTTCACTTAAATGTTCCTTATTTATGTCATCTCTTATTTTAATTTTTAGACATTCTTTAATATAAATGCAAACTCCACCTCCAGTTTTCGCTTTGCGATTGAATTCGTAAATCTTATAGCCTGGTATATTAAAATCAGAGACATTACATGATTCATCTAGCCATGTTTCAGCAATAGCTATCACGTCAAATGAGAAATTCAGTAAGTTTAGGTAATTTGTCAATTTTTCGAATTTATTACGTAAACTTCGAATGTTTAGACTTAAAACTGAAAATGAGTTTTCCTTTACTATATTACTTGTTTTAATCAGATCAATAAAATCATTAGTTAAATAGTATTTAGATTCATTATTCTTATTGTCATTGCGGTAATACATATCTGGGTTCAATCTGTCTGTAAATTCATTATGCAAAGTAGTTCTTGAGTTGTTCATATTAAAGGGATTAAATACTAAATTTTCTAGTCTGTCTTTATCCTTTTCTGTTAAATTGGTTGCTAGATTATTAACTGCGTCATTAAAATCTTGAGTATTTAGGTGATTAAAAGGAATTTCTCGAATGCACGTTGCGCAAATAGAGTTGTTTCCGGCTCTATAATTCTTCAAATTATTTTTATCAATACCCAACCTCGTACCCAGGGCCTTTGCGCGGTTCAGAGGCTCTGGTACGGGAAGCAAAGGCCCTGGTAAACACTGGTCACGTGTGTCCAAAAATATTGGACATTTCGTAATAATTCAGTTTTCAATCCGGGGGGAGCGGAGACGATTGATTTTGTCAAACATGGCAGCGAGAAGGCGCGACGTTTTCGAGTTTTTATATTATGATATTAAAATAAAACTTTCCTAGTGAGGATTTGAGAGTGGGTATATATTAACTATGCATTATACGAGCTTTCTTTTAACAAATTGTGGAATAGTTAACGGTAATACTTATCAAAGATCGAGGATCAAACTGAGAGAAAACTAGTCGAGCGTCTGTCTATTTTGTATCCAGCTATGTACTTCAACAGTTCAACTTGTTTGCGAGCCGACGTTAGAATTAAAACATTGATGATTATCAGTAATTTTCATGTGTTGACTGAAGAATACAATTGTGATTTTATTGCACTTTTATATGGAAGGATTAATACTCAGTATTATGTGCCTGTACATTAAAGACAATTAAAAGGGACATTTATGGAAAGAAATTCTTCATAATAGACATGGTGTAAAGTTGTAGTTGTATCAAAGCAGAATATTTTGAAACAATTAACTGGCAGAGTGACAGGTTGGTTTCCCTATGTATGTAGTTTAAAATACAGTTGTGAATGAAATTATACACAGTATCTTGAAACCTTTGTGTGTGACTTTATAATTTCATATTTATTGTTTGGGATGTTTATTTAATTTTATCAATTATCATTGTCTGGGAGGAACATAATTTTAGCCACATTACAAGACACAGCACAAGTCACTAATCATTTTGGGTAAATATTTATCTTTGGTTGAGTACTCTCTCCTCCACAGAGGTTTCAGTGTTATCGAAGAAAGCTGGAAACCTCTGCCAGAAGTCATGTCCAACAGTTGAAAATGCGGGGGGGGGGGGGGTTTGTGAGAAATTTTTAATTTAATAAATGTAACTTTTTTGACATTAACTCTTCGAATGACAATATTGACTCTTCGAATGTGTCTTCTGAATTCTCCATATTTGCTATTGATAAACATATATCCGCCCCCCCCACCGACCAGGGCGCAGATAATCGAAAACAGTTTAAAGTCTTCAAATCACATGGAGAACGATAATATTTTAACACTGTTTTGAGCGTCCTTCTTACATACACCGTCGCTGAAAAGTTTGTGTCAATTGCTCAAAATAATTTAGACTTATTCAAGTTCTAGCACTTTTTCTACCAATTTAGCACTTTTTCGACCGACTTCTGGCAGAGGTTTCACTTCCTCATAACGGTTCAATCGATACTGTAAGCGCCATGTAAAGCTCATTGAAACCTCTGCGGATGAGAGAGGGTTGATTACAATATATAATTAGCAATAGCTGCAAGGTAGACAACTGGGCAGTCTTAGAATGCATGAAAGGCTGTTTTACAACACAACAAAAACATTCCCTGTACATGTATTAGGAGGTCAAATGATCTACATCAACCAGATTAACCACACAAATGTTATTGCAATTACTGTACATTACTGTACATTGTGTCTACTACCCTTTCTACATATAAGACACATTTAGTTGAGCAACGAGATTGACATTCTATCATATTGTGTTTTCAATACTGTTCACAAACATCATTAATTATCTTAAAAAAAGATTGTGCATGCTCTATGTCCCATATTTCAAACTTCAAAAACATGTCTTCAGCTGACACAATATAATTCACACTGCGATACAACTGACTCTATAAGTTCAAATGTAACCCCAGTACGTGAATCAATACCTCCTATATGGTGGCCTGTTTGTCCTAATTGCCACCTATACTTTTGCATAAGACTTCTCAGCTGATCACGTTGCGCATCAGAAACATGTCGCAGCGCAGATATCGCATCATCTTCTCGGCCAGTGTTCAGTGATGTACCTGCAGGTTCATTCGGTCCTACTAGGCATGACGGACACTTGCACATTCTTGAGCAATTGCTGCAGCAAGAGTGTCCCGCAATGTACTTCTTCATTGACTGTGAAGGTGAGCTCAAATAGTTTAAAATAATTTCTCGTAGACATTTTTCATTTTCTGAACAAAAATTGCGCATTGTCGTCGTCATCCCAGGTTTATTTAAAGCGATATCATGTCCATTATAGTGTATGAATGCCTTCGCTTGTTTTCCATCTCTACCTGCGCGGCCTATTTCTTGATATAGGGATTCAATTGTTCCTGGTACTGATATGTGAATAACATGCCTGATGTCTAAAATGTTTACGCCAATCCCAATAGCAACTGTTGCAAATACTACTCTGATTGTTCTGGATTCATTTGGTCCTTGCAGTTGTTTCATAATTACATCTTTCATCAATTGTGTTTGAGGTGCATGGAATTGTGCATAAAGACAATTTTCGGGTTTTTTGTCTCCTGAAGGAAAATAACTTTTTTCACCCATT